TCTATAAAAACCCAATCCAGTAACTAAAAGCCAATTATACTTATTTTGCCAGCCACGATAATGCTGAAGACAGCAAAACAAAAGCCAAAAACAAAACTTGCCACATATACTTAACACTACACTCACATTAATAAAATCTCTCTGAACAAGACCATGCATTTTTTCCCATAGGTCAGAGAAGTCTGTTCTACTTGAGTGAGGATATCCTCATTAAAACCAAGTATAATAAATGAGTGTATATTTACCTTTTCAAGTGGAATTGGCCTTTGTCAGAGGAGGCCTGGGAGTATTCCCTAGACATCCTAAAAGAAGAGTTTGAGATAAAGACCACAGGTAGTGAGTCCTTCTTGAATAAAGGAACATTCCCCTTGGTGAGGATTAATCATGTCAGTTGGAATATATGCTTTAAAATCTCCTATTGTGGGGGCACCTATGTGGTGCAGTGGATAGAGCACCGGCCCTGAAGTCAGGAGGACCTGAGTTCAAATCCGGCCTCAAACCAAACACTTGACACTTACTAGCTGTGTGACCCTGGGCAAGTCACTTAATCCCAATTGCCTAATTAAAAAAATAAAATAAGATCTCCTATTGCAAAAGTATCATTTTAAAAAGTCTCAGGGGAAGCTACATGAGCCAATAAGAATCTTATCTGTGAAGTTAGCAGAGGGTTAGTTTGAACTACAAGCAGTGCTCAGAAATAAATGGTGACAGTTTAAGCTCTGCACCTGTCAGCTAGCTATCCATACAGAAATGAGGCAGCAGCCACATGCTATATGAGACAGAAAACCAGAATCAGCTGATAAGAATAGGCACCAAGAGGTCAGTGTATTTAGGCTGTATAGCTGCTGTGGAGGAAGAGCCTGAGCACCAGAAGGTACCAGCCACAAGCACCAACTCAATAAATAGGCCAGTACAAGGGAAGGAACTTGCAATCTTGGATGTAACAAAAGCCCAACTAGACACCCAGAACTGTGCCAACAAGAAGTACAAGTGGCTACTTTTTATATTGGTGACGACTAGATTAGACACGATAGGAACTCATCCTCTAAGAATTTTTTATTCTTGTACCCATCATCATTTTATTTTCTCTTCGTTTCTTAGTGAAAACTGAGGTTATTTGCCATGAACTCCTTTTTCCTCATCTCCTATCACTCAGATACCTTCTGTCACTTCTCCTTCACCCATTTCACATGAAGAAGAGGCCTTACTCCTTATCAAGGCTAACCCTAAACTTGTTAAAGTGATCCCATTCCATCTCCTCTCTTCCAACACAATGCCCCCTGCCATGCCTACTCTTTCATTTATTTTTAGTCTCTTCCTATCGGCTCATTTCCTGCCGCCTACAAACACACCCATGTGTAGTCTATCCTGAAAAACCCTCACTTGATCTTTCCATCCCTGCTATCATTCTATATCTCTTTGGCCCTTTGTAGCTAAACTTCTTGAAAAGCCCATCTACAATTGGTGCCTCCACTTTCTCTCCTCTCACTCTCTTCTTAACTTCTTACAATCTAGCTTCTGATCTTATCATTTCACTAAAACTGTTCTCTCCAAAATTATTGATGATCTCTTAGTTGCTGAATCCAATGGCCTTTTCTCAATCTTCCTTCTCTTCAACCTTCTCTGCAGCCTTCAACATTGTTGATCACTCTCTTTTCCTTGATACTCTCTTCTCTCTAGGTTTTTGGGACACCACTCTCTCCTAATTTTCCTCCTATCTATCCAACCACCCCCGCTCTGTCTCCTTTGCTGGATCCTCCTCCTATAATGGAGAAGGATTGGGAAAAGCTTCCTGTAGAAGGGATTTTAGTTAGGACTTCAAGGAAGCCATCTCTGCAGTCACTCTGTTTTATAACATCAGTCATCTATGCTTCTTCATTCTCCCTAGCCCTCTAGCTAACCAGTTTCCAAGTCTTATAAACTCTCTCTCAATATCCTTCATGCCAGTCCCCTTTTCTATGCTCACAAGACCCTCATCAGCCCTCCCTTGGGCTGCTGTAATAGCCTCCTAATTGGTCTCCCTTGTTATGCCAAACTAGCAATTCTAAAACACAAGTCTAACTATGTCACTCTCCTGCTCAAAAACTTCAGTGTCCCTATTGTCTTTATGATAAAACACAAACTCCTCAGCTTGGCATTCTTGAAAACCTGACTCCCACCTACCTTTGCGGACTTATTTCATATTACTTCCCTTCAAACATTCTACACTTTGACCAAAAATGCTTACTACCTGTTCTCAGAACTGGACACTCCAATCAATCAATCAACAAACAATTATTAAGTGCCTATGTGCCAGGCAACAGAGATACAAAGACAGAAAGGAAAAAGTCTTGCCCTCACAGAGCTTACATTCTACTGGGAGTTACAGCATACACACACACACACACACACATACACACACACACATACATATAAAATATAAGTATATACAAAATACATGCAAGATAACTGACAGCAAAGTACTAAGCTTTGGAACCAGGGAAAGCTTTATGATAAAGGTGGCTTGAGCTGAGTTTTGAAGGAAATCAGATGCTAGTTAGGAGGTGCATTCAAGGCAGGTAGACGAATATGTGCAAAAGTAGAGGGAACCATGTATAAGAAACAGTAAGAGGGCAAGGAAAAGAATGTATTATGAACAGGAATAATACGTAATAAGACAGGAGAAGTATGTTGGGGTCAGGTTATGAAGAGCTTTTAAAATATAAAACACAAGAGTTTGGAGAAAAAAGGTCTGGAGCAAGAAGGGATTCAGAAGGCATCTAGTCCAATCCCCTCCTTTCACACACGAAGAAAGTGATGAAGATGAGAGTCTGGGGAAATTAAATGGCTCAGTCAAGATCACAGAGGAAGTATTAGAAGTGACATTTGAACCCAGGTCCTCTGAATCTAGAGCCAGAGCTCTTTCCACTGTACCACACTGTCTCGTAGAGATGACAAGGAGCCACTGGAATTTAGTGCACAAGTGAGTGACATGGTAACACCTGCACTTTAAGAAAATAACTTTAGCAGTTGTGTGAAGGACAGATTGGACAGAGGAATGATTTGAGGCAGGAGCTCAATTAAGAGGTTGTTACAACAGTCCAGATGAGGTAAAGGTCCGAACTGGGGTGGTAATATGTGAGTAGAGAAAAAAATGTGGGAAATGTGGAGGTAAATTAGAAAAAACACAGCAACTCACTGGGTGTATGGGATAAGGCAGAGTGAGGAGCTGAGGACGGCTCTGAGGTTGTAGATTTAGGTGACAGCAGTGCCCACCTGCCATGGGGGCATGACCCCCTCATCTTCACTTCTTGAAGGGCTTAGCCCAGTGCCTCGCACATAGTAGACACTATATAAATGCTTGGTCCTTCTTTCCTTCCATCCTCTCCCCTATAAAATGAATTCTTCCTTCATCAGCATGAGGCACTACCATTCCATGTCCAAGATCTCAACTCTCTCTGAGACATTTATTCTAAGCTTTAATTACTTGTTAAATAGCCTCGTTCTCAGTTTCCATTGGATTGTCCAGTCAAAAGTGGGGAACCTGTGGCCTCAAACATATGGCCTTGAGGCCGCAGGCTTCCCATCTTTGGTTGGTTATGTCCTCTTAGGAACAAGTCTTACGTGCAGGGAGATAGTTTGGCTGGGAGCAGAACAGGCTGCTAGGTAGCCAGAGAGAAAAGAGATGACATTCAGTAGTTTATAAGCATAGCTCAGAACCAAATAAGACTAATTCCCAAATAATTCAAGGGCAGAGTATCTATCATATCACATGTATGTGAAGAATATTTTGAGAACTGGGTACATTTTAAGCACCCAGATATGTGGCTTATAAAAGCTTTTATAAAAGGGAAATGTTTTTGAAATAGTATAGAAATTTCCTCAGATATTACTCTTATAAACCAAGTTAACTAGAGAATATTCCCTCTTACTCTTTCCCCACATGCTCCTATTCTTTTGCTGGGGACAGGGAAAGATAAGTTTTTGAGGTGGAAAGAGAAATTGCAGGAAAATGGAAAGTTTCATACCTAACAATTTTAAAAGAAAATGGGAAGTTTTTCCACACTGAACATTCAAATGGATCTGTGTTCTCATCACTGTGGGTATTGCCTCCAATAATGCAGATTGCAACCCATACATGTTTGCCCGTCCTGTGTGATTCATATCTGTATCCTTCCATAAGTTCACCACTGGGGAGTCACTCAACATGTTAGAGACTTTGCTTAAGTTCTCATGACATTGCAATGTTAACAAGGGAGCAAAAACCAGAAAAAATTTAAATAACAGGGAAATTTTAAATAATGGAAAAGCATTTAGTATTGACTTTATTAGTGATTAGCAAGAGGTATGACTTGATGCATTTGGCCGTAATTCTCTCATCTTTTAAGGTCCCTCCAAACTCTAACACTCTATGATTTCATGACTTTATATCCAGAAAAGTTGAAGAACGTTATTGACCAGAGGAGCAACGATAAATTTTTAGATCAAAAGTTTCCTGGATATGTTGCATGCAAATATACTTATAGTGGTTTTAATTTTATTTAGTAAAGACTAGGTTCATCAATCATTTCACAAGTTCCTGAGCTAAATGATGGTGTTAAATCCAATGAGGAAAAAGAATGCTGGCATGCCAAGCTCAATTATGTAAAAAGTTTAAGTAAATATCATAGAAACAAATGTTCGATTTTTTTTAGTAAATGGTTAATATCCCAGAACATTTTTCTTTCTGATCAGAATGTTTTGAGAACATTTTGAAATAATTTTTCAGTACTCTTGTTCTGCCCAATTCTCCTACACTAAGTGTTTAGCTGTGGGGTACACTTTATATACCACGAACAATATCATATCTTCTCATCTACCTCTAACAAAATAGCAATACTTTTCCTCAAACATAATTTAATATTTGCTTCTACCAAAGCATAAGTTTAACTTTAAAAATTTTAACCTTTTGAAAGCTGAAGGATAAATGCTTCCAAAGCCACACAATTTGGCCTATTCTTCAAAAAATAATTACAACTTACCTATGTCCATCTCTAAATGGTGGTCAACTATCACCAAAAATAACTGTTCCATTACAGGGGCAGATGGTAAATCAAAGAATTCTGTTGTTTCCAATGAAAACTTCAGCAGTCTCAGTACTAGTTTTCATTAACATTTCCTAGAAAAAGGATGATTTTGATCAGCTAGAAAGTAACAAAGGCACTGAAATATTTTATTTCATTAAAGAATGAGTTCATCTAAACAATGGCTAATAGTTGGATCAACTGAGAAAGGCATGCATTAAGTTGTCCTAAAACTTCCTAATAGAAGCTCAATAAAACAGCAACTTATGACAAACAAAAATTTCTTTTCCCACTTTGATCTGTCATTATTACCTTAAAAAAAATAATTACTCTGTCAAAGTTAGGCACAGTACTTTTGAGGACCTACAACTTGCCAGGACTATATTTAGAAATTAGAGGAGGTACAAAAGTAGTATAGGATATAGCCCCGTGTAATCAATGAACTTATAGTCTAGTTAAAGAAATGGCATAAACACATAAAACCACAGGGAACCATATGTAAGAGGGGTGTTTTATACCTCTACCTCAGTAAGTGAGAGCAACACTTCTCCATTTAATCAGTTAATCAGAAGTATGGGCTAAGGCCTAGACAGCTAGCTGACTCAGCAGATAGAGTCCTAGGCCTTGAGTCATTAAGACCCGAGTTCAAATGTGGCCATTTAATCTCCATCTGCCTCAGTTTCCTCAATTGCAAAATGAGGATAATGATAGCACCTACCTCCCAGGGTTGGGAGGTAGGTGAAGATCAAATGAGATATAATTGTAAAGTGCTTAATACACAGCCTGGCTATTGTAAGTGCTATATAAATATTAGCTATTATTGTTAAATCTTTTGAATAAATAAATCAGAGGCATTAAAGTACAAACAACCTAGTTAAATAGGTGAGAAGAGAGTGAAAAACCATTGGATAAATTTGAATGACACTGCACAGCAGTTGAATTGGGATTGACTGAAGAGACTCAGTCACATCCCGTGGGACTTGGATTAATAAGACAAGTTAGTTAAAAAATGCACATTTTCCAGGGCCTTGCAGCCTGGAGGAAAGAATAGTTCAGTGGAGCCCCTGAAAGGGAATTATTTGGGAAACTGGGATGGGGGAAACAGAGTGAAGAACATCTGTATTACTCCTTGCCCTCCACTTTTAATCAGAGGGTATGGGGAAAGTTTGGATTTCTCAGTGTTTTAGCAGTGTCTCCAAAGGAGCAAGGAGCAGTGGGAGTGTCAACATTGGGAGACCAGGCCAAAGGAGGAAGGGCAACTTTACAAGAAACCCAGCAGAAAACTATAGTATATCTATGGAGAACTTCATGAGTATTCTATGAAGAGGACAAAAGGTTGGCCCAGGGTAAGGAATGTCTTTCTATAGAGGAGATAGACATTATAGTAAAAACAATGACAACAACAAATAACTTGAAGAAACAAGACTTTATTGCTGGAAAAATATCCTGAAGGTTTCCCTCCTCTCCAATTCTATTCCAATGAGACTATATTAGAACTTTTACTTTTTAAAAAGAATTGTAGAAGAAAAAAACGTTGGACTCCACTGCCCCTTTCAGGGCCTCATTAACCTAGTGTAGTACAACAGAATAAAAAACTGGATTTGGAGTCCAGGTCAATTGCCAGTATTTTTGGCAAAGATTTTTCCTATTTTATTCAACATGCTATTAGTGGCACTTTACTCCCAAAATTATTTTGTATTTACTTTGTATATATTTTATCTATTTATTTGTGTGGATGTTGTTTTCTTCCAGTAGAATGTAAGCTCCTTGAACGCAGGATGGATTTTGTTTTTATCTTTGTATTTACAGTGCTTAGCACAGTGCCTGGCACACAATAGAAGCTTAATAAATGCTTACTGCCTTGACTTTAAATACCAACAGCAGAACCCTCTGTCTTATAATGAAGAGTTAATGCACCAGTTGAGGACTACATCTGAAGCCAGGAGGGGAAGTGGAACAGAACTCCTCCTGACCAGTGGTGTTGCCCTGGGAAGTGACATGGGACCAGCAGAGTAGAGACAGCCACATGAGAACAAAGTGGAGAAGAAACAACTCACCACACTCACATGTCCAGCAAAGACCACACACGTGGCAGAGACTGCATGCCACTTGAGATAAGCAGGGAGCAAGCCTGGCAGAAGCAGTGTAATGACACTGCTAGAAGAAAGTGGTCTTGCGCAGGGGGCACAACTTGACCCTCCATGCTTGTGCTCCAATCATACTTGTTCCCTATACACATACATCTCCATACATGTCCCCTAGATGTGTTCCCTCTTCTCAGTGAGGATGTGCATATTAGTGGCAAAGGGTACCCCAGGTTTATGGGAGGAATATTTTATTAATACTTTTCTTACCATGTAATTTCATTACATTGTCCTGATTTTAAATTAATCATGTTCTCTAGCTGATGAATAAAGGTAAACAGTGGGGCACTTGTAAGCTGTGGTTTTGGGGAATGCAGACCTACAGAGTACCCTGAAACATGGGGTAGCCTAATCGAGGGAATCCACTGTGCAAGGTGGAGGTGCCCCAAGTACAACCCCCAACAACTCAAATTTAACATGCCTAAAAACGAACTAATTCCTTTGTAACCTTCAAATGCCTATCTTCATCTGTTAATGGCAACATGATTCTCTTTTTCACCAGTAAGTGAAAAGTCATCAGTCTCCTCCTTCCTCACTCCTCACATCAAAACTGTTGTTAAGACATGTGCACTGCTTCTGCCAGGCCTGCTCCCTGATTATCTCAAATGGCAGGCAGTCTTTGCCAGGTGGGTGGTCTTTGCTGGACATGTGAGCGTGGTGAGTTGTTTCTTCCCAGAGGCTGTTGCTAAGTCTTGCTTTGCTGGTCCCATGGTCACTTCCCAGTAAAACACCAATGGGCAGGAGGTTGTGGAGTTCTGTTGCATTTCCAGCTTCTAGATTCAGATGGAGTCCTCCAGATGGGTCTGTTAACACTTTATTATGAGATAAATGAGTTCAGTCTTTGTTCTTTCAAGTTAAATCTTCTGAATCTGTTTCTCCCTTCCATGCTCACTGCCATTAATCTAGTTCAGGCCCTCATCACATCTCAACTACACAGATTCAAAAGTTTCCTAAGTGATGATGCCACTCCATTGATAAAAACAAAAATAAAACCCTACATCTTTCAATAAATTCCTATTACCTACAAAATAAAATACAAGGTATGCTCTGGTTCCAATCTATCTTTTTCAACCTATTTCTTAATGTTCCCTAGGTTCCCCAAGTTCTAGGAAACTGAACTACCCATCATTCCCTAAACATACCCTGTGTTTTTCCTGTTTTCCTTCATGCTAAATACTCATACTGTTCCCTTTACTGACAATAACATCTTCCCCCTCTTAGTCTTTTTCCCTCCAAAACTAAACATATGCAGTATAAGAAATCAATTAGTTGAGTGCCTCTGTACACGTATAAACACTGTAATGGTCTTCTGGTTGGTTTCCATGCCTCCAGTCTCTCCTCACTCCACTTCTCCACTTCATCCTCCACTTAGTTTCCAAAGGGATTTTCTAAAAACAGTTCTGACCATGACACTGCCTCTACTCAGAAAACTTCAGTGGTTCCCTGTTACCTCCAGGATGAAGTATAGAATCCTCTACTTGGCATCTGAAGTCCTTCATAACCTCATACTTTCTTCCCTATCCAATTTTCTTACACTTTATTACCTTCCATACTTTTTCTGCAATCCAGCTTCACTGACCTTCCTATCTGCTGCTTCTCACACATGACATTCCATCTCTCAACTCCCAAAAAAGTTTGTTGTCTGACTTATCATGGTATGGAAGTAAACTCAGGTTCTCAAAGGCCATGTCAATCAGTCAAAAAGCATTTATTCAGTGTATATGTGCTAGGCACTGTACTAAGTACTGAGGATACTGAGAAAGTCAAAAGACAGTTCCTGCCCTTGAGGAGAAGCTCACAATCTAATGTGGGAGACAATATACAAAGTATTTACAGGATAATTAGGAAATAATCAACAGAGGGAAGGCACTAGAGTTAAGAGTGAGAGAGGCTTCCTACAGAAGGCAGGGTTTTAGCTGGGAGTTGAAGGAAGCCAGGGAAACCAGAAGGTAGAAATGAAAAGGGAGAGCATTCCAGAAATGGGAATGTCAGTGAAATGCAAATTCTGCTAGGTTCTATCAAGTTGGAAAAGTTTCCAACATGAGTCTGGTGAAAAACTGTTGTCCAAATAACAGCCTAGCTAAGTGCATCATCATAAATAGAAAGCCTCCTTAATGTCTGAGGCCCCTAAAGCACATCTTAGATGGATAGGGCAGAGGCTCAATTTGCTCACATGGATTTATAGCCTAGACTGTATCTGAATTATCCTTCCAACACAAACCCCACTGTCACAAATTCACACTTCAGCTGAACTGACATCCCTACCCCCACAAGGTTCTCTTTCAAGTGATGACTACACCACCAGTACACACAGAATACCTTTATGTTAACCAGTTGCAGTTTATATCTTTTCTTGTGCACAATAAGGTCAGTTATTCTCTTTGTGGCTAAATCAATCTGCCTAAAAGGAAAAGGTTTGCTGTTAGTCTTATATTGATCATTCCTTCTTGAAAACTCTAGCTTAATTCTGCCTCTGAAATAGTGGGGAAATATAAGTGCATCTTCACTTGTTTATCTCACTTCTCTGCCTCCATTGGGCACTCCCACTTACCAAGCAGAACCATCACTTCATGATAAGCTTTAGTAGGGCTGCAGAAATCCATAAAGATGATCTACTTATGTCCAATGTGATGGCTTATTTTATTTAATTGTATTTCTTTGACATAAAGTAGGATTTGCAGGGAGATGGGAAGAATCCCTGAGAAATGATAGTGATGCTGGAAGGAAGGAACAACAATAAAATATTTATACAGAGGAGGTACAAAGGAGATATGTAGGAATTTTCCTGAACAACAGAGGAAGGAAATTCAACAATCAAGCTGACAGTAGTATGGGGCACTTGCTACTGCAGAAGGACAACTGATAAAGATAAACAACTTCTAGTGGTTCAAGGATCAGCCACATTACTTGGCGGGGTCAGGGGCGGGGGGAGCACCTAAAGAGCTGACCCT